ACTTGTTCCCTACTCCCACAACCCTTTGTGCAAAGAAGTGCCTCCTGTTCTCGGTTTTTAATGCAATCCCACATAGTTCCACTTGTACCCACTGAATGAGAGCACCGCACAGCTTTTCTCCTGAAGACCAAACAGGGCTCTCGACAAGAAGCATCTCGGAAAGCAAATCACATGCTCCCTGGGAGAACAGATAAAAATAATTCTGTGTTTGACTAATATGGTCTTCACAGCAGGGGACTCATAAACATAATAAACATACTCAATCAGAAATACACAGATCCACAGTCTTAGTCTGCAAAATCTTACTATGCTTGAGTGCAAATGACTGTTGAAGGTTCTCTCTGTGTGAAACATTGCTTACATGCGGGCTTTATACTGCTGCAGAACCATGTGCTGGACTTATAAATTCGTATTGTAAATGTCTGAGATCTATCTTCTGCTGTGGAACAGATGTAGAGAATGAACTGAACACAACCTTGTGCTGTCTGAATTGCCAGCTTTTGCTGAATCACTGCCTGTATCTTGAAGAATAAGATAATAAATTTACATTATCAGGTATCTTACAAAAAGGAGATCAAAGTTACAATAAAAATATGAATTGCGCTCACATCTTTGATTTTAAAGCTAGGCCCTCGCTGTGTTAGAAGTTAATCAATCCCTGGCTGATTATTTTCAGATTTGATTAAACTCAAATAGGTGTACTTTATGTTTTACAAAATATACTTCTCTGACATAAAATAAACTAGCATAAATGGAGCCTACCAAAATACCTATCATATTGAACAAAGTTTTGGGTCACTGGTTAGTTGGTATTGTAACGCATACGGCCTCCATTGTTTGTTAGAGCCGGCTTTCCAGAGCGGTGACGTCACCGCCCTTCCCTGTGGATAGCAGGGACCGCAGCCGCCAGGCTGATGGGAGATTTCCCTTTGGCTCAAGAGGCTGGGTCCCTGTTGAGTGATGCCGGAGGCCGGGGTTTGAGTCCCTGATGGTGGGGGTCCGACCTGAGGCGGCAGCGGTGAGGGCGCCCATGCGAACCCTGGAGCGCTACAGTATCATGCCACAAGTAGACCCACATGAAACACATTCATTCTGAAAGATGAACCTTTGAATCTTAATATCAGAGTGTGATGACACATCTTACATCCACACATCTTCTTACCCCTTTATCTAATACCAATACCAGGTTCAGTAGCAGCAAGTAACAGGCAAAAGGCAGGATACACCCTGGAAAGATGCCAGTGCTTCAAATGGCAGATACAGAGACACACTCACACCAGGGCCAATTAACCTACCAGCACGTCTCTGGACATGGAAAGAGGAGCACCTGGAGGAAACCCATGTGAACAGGCAGAACATACAAACTCCACACAAATAGCGCTCCAGGTCTGGATTTGAACCCAGCACTGTGAGGCAGCAATGTTAACCAATGCACTACCATGCCACTCACACATTGATCAGTGGTTCCAAGATACTGTATATGTAAGACCTCTGCTTTTCCTAGACTCCTACCACACTGTAGTTATCCAGCTAATCCTGGACACTGGAGACACAGAGGAAATTGCCACTGCAGGTTGCCCGAGAGCTGATACAATATGTATAAAATTGTGTCTGTTGGGGGTGGGGGTGGGGTTTCTTTAAAGAATGCCCCTTTCAATTCAATTGAAAATACTTTATTCTTCCCCAGTGGGGTAATTTAAGCTGCAAGCGATGCAACATACAACACATAACCAAAAAATAAACTCTGCCAGAAAAAAAAAGTATATACAGTACTTTTTTAAGATAAAAACAGAAAATGGACTAAAGAAGTCACAGAACACAACAGTGTGTATTAAAGTACATGCACATTTGTAGAGAGGGCAGCCCTGTCCAGTAGACATCATATTGTCTTAGGTGGTGGGAGTTTTGGGATGCATCTTCCAGCTGAAAAAAACCTCTCATGTCATCTTTTACTGCCCCGGTCCATTATATGGTGTACAAAGGGGAATGCCCATGTGCAGGTTTCTTGTTGGGTTAGGAATAATATGGTTATGATGTTTTCTTACCTTATCTCTAGTTCAATAACCTTGTCTAGAGCTCAGAAGCACTGGTGGACTTGCGTTGCCTTTAAACTCCCAGAACTACACGTTTCAGCAGAATATTACGGATTTGTTGACCTTATTGCATTACCACCCCATCTGTGTCCCTGGATTTCTGAATCCCATAGCTGAGCCAAAGGGTACACTGTGGTAGCACAGTGTGTACCAGCTGACAGTTCTCCTTTTGAGGTTGAGATAGGAGTTTCTAACTAATTCCCCACAAAAGATCCAGCATTATATAACTCATACCCTCTCCTGGCTGTATAGGTAATATGAAATTCTTCATTGCTGTAGATCTGGAAACAGAGGTAATTTAGCTCAATTGACTCAGTGGAGTGATTTAGAGCTAAGGAATGAAAGGAAGGGTTTTCAACTCTTCAGTACAAGGAGGATGTTATGTTGATTTATAAGCTGCCTGAAGTACAAACTGATAAGGTTAAAGATTGAGGAACATGTTTAATAACGGCCTTTCACATTCAAACCTCCTCTTAACCTCCTGGAGGCATTGCATATACTTACAGACAGTATATAAAACATTAAAATAACTGATATTTATATATATATGTTCAAATTTTGCGTATCCTTAATGGTTTCCTCCTTTAATCCTGATCCTCCTTCAGAGTTTAAAGGGGAAACTGCAACTGTAAATGAAGAGTTTATGATAAAATTAAGAAACTTGATTTTCCCTTAGGCTAGCATTTAAAAATAAAACTTTTACACTAACAGAGCTGTGTTCACTTGTTCAATTTACATACATGTACAGTAATGTGTGGGATAATGTAAACAAAACCTCTAAGAATGCTGAACAAGGAGCCTAGAAAATGAATGTAAGGCAATAAGAAATGCAAGCGGAATATTAGGAGACAAAACTGAAAGTGTAGAACAATTGATGTTGTGGTTAAATAATAGAATGTACTAGGAAGACCATATTTAGAATAATTAGAATATACTTCCTGTTTTTTAAATTGTGTTTTTCATTGTTTTTCTTCATGTAGTCAGGTGATTGCAACAGCTCAATCCCCACAGCATTCTGGGGAAAGTGGTTAAGACCAGGATCTCCACTGTTACTGAATCTCTGCCCTCTTACAATATCCTACCATTTTGATTTGACCTTTTTAACTGTTTCCCCCACGTTGTCTACAGAATAGTAGCCTCTTCGAGATCAGAATTTCTCATTTTGCATTTAGTTTATGTTTTTGCTATTTACTGTACATGCAAAACCATGCACTTGTCTACATTAAACATCATCTTCCAAGTGTTTTCCAGGTCATTAAGTCTATCTACAGCTTTTTAAATTTAATTTGCTTCAGTCGCAGTGCTTTAATAATCCTCCTAATTTGGTATTATCTGCAAACTTACTGTAACACGTTTAATACTTTTTCAATAATATAGATCAATGATATGAGTTGAAAAGAGCACGAGTCACTCTTATATAAATCCACTGTTGTCTATTTGCTAACAAATTCTCAATCCTAACACTTGTGTTTCCCTGCATACCTACTGCCTGCAATCATTTACCGCAGTGCAATCATTCAGTGGCACTGTATTCAGTTAACTGGTTCCGCTCATATCTGACATTTTGTTTCCCATGATCCTCATAAATCCCCCATGGCCCCAGTCAATCACGGTGTGCCTCAGGGTTTAGTGTTGGGCCCACTGATTTTTATCATTTAAGATGCTCTCTCTCTGCAGATGATACGCAAACATATAACCTATACTGTATGCTTGTTATACACATGGCCTTCATTATCACTGTCATGCAGATGATACTGAGATCTATATTAAAACCTCTTCCCCCTATGATCTTCTGCCTCTTTCAATTATGCCTTGTCTGTGTGACATCGGGCTCTAGTGGCATAGAATTCCTTGAAATGAAATACTGACAAAACAATTTTTTTTGGTGGGAAACACATTTCAACTGGAAAAACAGTTCACAGTAATGGTGGATTTCTTCCCCATTCGAGTGTCAGCCAAAGTCAGATATTTGGTGGTCGTACTTGATCCTCTCCTGTCTTTTGAGCTCCACATGAAAAAGTTGACTAAGACATCTTTTTTCACCTTAGAAATATTGATGCTGTTAGGCATCTGTCAATATCCGAAACTGAGTGCTTGATTCATGCATTTATATCATAAAGGCATGATTTCTGCAACTCTCTTCCCTATGGGCTCCCTAACACTAAGTTGCAATATATACAAAACTCTAAATCTAGACTTCTAACTCACACCAGACCCCGACAGCATATCATTTCTTTGCTCAAATTTCTACACTGATGATGTCACGTATTCAATATAAGATCTTGTTACTGACTTATAGGACTCTGGATAATCCATCATACATTTCTGATCTCCGTTTCGGGCTCCACTCAGTGGAGGCTGGTCCTTTGCTCATTGTACCTAGAATTAAAAGTGTGGCACTATTGGTGACTGTGCTTTTTCTGACGCTCCAATGTTATGGAATGCTCTTCCTCCAACTCTTCGAGATGAAAAATCTTTGACTCTCTCCAGATCTAAACCTAAAACTCACCTTGTTACTAAGTCCTATGACTGACTTACAGTTTGTCCTGTATCTTCTTTAAGCATTTTATTTACTTTTATTGTGTTTTTTCTCTTTTCTTCTTGACTGTGGCAAACAAACTGTGTTTAATTTGAATGTCCACTTTATGACCTTCCATCAGGATTTAAATCAAGCCTTTACTGACATTTGTCAATAATACTAGGGATTTGCAGCTTTAATGAAACTCTGTTTCATTGCAGGAGGTTCTGGACAACGTTAGGGCTCTGCAGCAATTTCAAAACAAATTCAACGACCTTTTCCACAAAGCTGGATTCGCACACAAGCTGGGCTGTTGAATAAACAGCTTTGCACATGGGATGAGAGAGCGACACTATGGGCGGGGGTTGAGGAAAATGCTCTTTTCTTACTGAGCTCAGCGATGCTCCCCACGCGTGTGGCTAGCAGTGACTGCTCAATGGTCCTCAGCTCCGACTGGCTGTACATGTGGACATCCCCAGACTTGCTGGACCTCTGCTGATCCCTGTGCAGATTCAGGCTGTCCGGCAGGGAGAGAACCCCTGAAATTACACAGAAGATGAAAAATAAATGAATGCTTAATAAAAAAAAACAGACAGTGACAGACTCCATTCATTCATTGCAGAGAAATGCAATTATCAGATAAGAGAGAGAGTCTATCTCAGTTAGGCCACCTTCAAGCCCACAGATAATACAATCATGGAAGACAGTCATCATCTACTCAGATGGATGCCAAGAGAGTGAGAAAAACCTTTGGCTCTTACAGTATCGTTACTGTCACTAACGATCTACTAACAGCTTCTGATTCTGGTTCTCTTTCTATCCTCTGTCTTCTTTATATTAGTGCCGTTTTCGACACTGTTAAACATGATATCTTACTTTCTCTTCTTGAGACTGCGTTTGGAGTTTCTGACACTGCTCTTAAATGATTTGAGTCTTGCCTCACTGGGCACTGTCACTTTGTCTCTTTTGGTGGATCTGGGTCTGAAATTGGATTTGTTCAGTCTGGTGTCCCTCAGGGCTCGGAACTGGGCCCCCTTACTTTTCAGCATTTACATTTTTCCAGCTTTTGAGATCACATGGCCTCGACTATCATTTCGATGCTGACGATACTCAAATCTACATCCGTACCAAACCTAACACATGTGGCTGTCTCTATTCTCTGTAATTGCATCTCTGACAAAAAAACACGGACGACTCACTGAAGTCATGCTTATTGTACCCAGGCCCACCCCCCCATCAATGTTGTAACCCTGTCTGTGGTTGGTCCTGTACTTGAGCTTCAGTCTAAATTTAAAAACTTGGGGGCGATATCTGTTTCAGGTTTGACATTTGACCCACATATTGTCAAAATATCATCCTATCACCTCAGAAATATTGCCAGGCCTATGTTATCGCTAACTGTTGCTGAAAAGCTCATCAACACATTTGTCTTCGCCTGAACTGATTACTGTAATGCTCCACACGCTGGGGTTTCTAAATTCACATTGAACAAACTCCAGTATGTCCAAAATTCGGCAGCCAGAATCCTGACCAGGTCTAGTGCAAGTGATCCCATTACTCCTATCCTGGAGTCCTCGCACTGGCTTCCTGTCAGGTTTTGTGTCAACTTCAAAATCCTCATGCTCACCTTTAAGGCTCTGCATGGCTTGACACCTCAGTACCTGTATCTTCCTACTCCCCACCTTACAACCTTTGCTCTTCTTATTATGGTCTCCTAACTGTCCCCCAAGCCCGTCTACACTCTATGGGTGACAGGGCCTTCTCCTGTTATGTCCCAAAGCTCTGGAACTCTATCCCTAAGGATATCAGAGAGTCACCTTCCCTAAACTCTTTCAAATCTAGACTCAATGTCTTCTTCTTTAGAAGAGCCTTTACCTAACTGATTCTGTTATTTTCCCCTTTGCTCCTCCCGTATTCACCTCCCCCATCTACTGTCTCCACTCATCGTGTATTTTCATTGTGTTTATCTTGTGTATTTTTTGTTGTTGTTGTCATTCTGTAAAGGGCTTTGAGAAGCCACCTTTAAAGGTGCTATATAAAAAAAAGTTTATTATTAGTAGTATGAATTATGAATACCTCAGATAAATGAGATATTGCTGCATAGGAGCAGTGCTGCACTCCCCCGAAGGTTCATTACTGAAAGCACACCGCTTTGTCACTGAGGCCCAGGTCATAGAAAAGTGGGCACTGATCCTGAACACAGTAAATAAATAGAGGAGACTTAGATATCTATCACCTTTCACCTGAGGTGGGAATGTTTCATTCAGATCATATGGGAAGGAAGCGGATTGTGTTTCGGTATCTAAAGGGATTAAAATATAGAACAATGGTTCCATTTTGGTTTCTGTCTCTATCCTGACATGTGTTTCTTTTACTGACAAGTGGGGGTTTGGATGCCCGCCTATGCCTCTCCCTGTGGAGGAGATTCATGACCAAAATCAATGGGTCAATATGAGTTCTGATTTTCCCCTCCTCAAATGGAAAATGATTTGAAATGACCATTTAACTCCCCCTCAGACGAATCCTCTCAGGACATTGGGAGTTGAGGTTTTGGTTGGTTAGACTTTGCCAAAACCTCAGCTTTCTCGCAAAGCTGTTTTCCACGTGAAAAAGATTAAATCTGGCCTGCTGCTTCCTGGGAATTCATAGGCCAGTGGAAAAGGCTTGTCTTCCTTATCCATTCTAGTGATTAGTGTATTTTTAATTACGCTTTGTATAAAACCCACATGCAGTTGCACGTCATGAAGGATATTCAGCAGAATATTCGCTGAAAGACAGATGCAGACAAAACACAGAGATACTGCAGACCAGCACATCTTCCTTGAAAAAGCACAGAGGCATCAGAATAAGAGGAAACGCCTACAAAGAAACTCATTCACACCTTCAATAGAAGCCCCAGAACTGTCTGTTTCACTTTCTCTCCAACAGACGCGTCAAACTGGATACCTGCTGCTTAGGGAAATTCATTTCTAGGTCATAACTGCCTCCCTTGGAAATACAACAGAACTTAATACCTTATTCATTTAAACAGGGAAAAGCATAGTGTATTAGCAGCCAAAGATGTGTAGATATAGAAGCCAGTGAGGCATCTAATGATTTTCAGATTGAAAAAAAAATCTTATTCTGGGTACAAAATCTCCGTCTAACTATTTTCTCATATGGAATGCACTCTATGTTTCATTAAGCTGCATTTACAGAGAGAGAACAATGAAGAAGTCTGCATGAGGGCATGCCACTGTCATCCGTCATTGTGAAGTATTGACAACTGCTCAAGGTTTAGCTTTACAGATCAATAAAGTGATGATTTGAACACTGAGGCCTTTAAATGAATACATATTTTGCGAACCTTTGATTGTGAATTTCATGGCCTCTGTAAGGTCTTTAATATAAAGGGCAAGAAAAAAGATTTTTACGCAAAAATAAAAACAGATCAGTACAATGCCTTTCATTAATGTACAGGCTCGGAAAGGAATGTGACACTGCTAAACTGTGACATCTGCCCACATTTCACTCCAGGCATGAGACCCAGTGAAGTTAACAAAGTTACCACCTTAAAGACAGACTACATCAACACCTATTGCATAGCAGTGAGGTGACATTCAAAGTTGAGGGCGTCATTTAACTGATCGAACATATTGTTGAAAAAGATCAAATTAAATGATTTACACTTAAATAGTAGCAGCAATGATCTTCCTGGTTACAAAAAAGTGCAATAAAAGTATTATGTAGGTATAGAAGAAACTGAACATCTTAATAGGGACATCTACTGCATGAAATTCCGACTGTCAAAGCAAGCAATTTTATGCAATGGCTCTGTATTTGATTGTCATTACAAAGAATAAGCATTTAAATTGTATACCAGTAACACTCGATTCTCTGCACAGATACCTTTTGATATATACTGCACATGCATCCAAATGTATCCTAAAACATGACAATTTTTATATTATTTAATTATGGAAAGGAGATATTGAACTACTGTATATAGTGTTTGAAAAGGATGGAATAGTGTTCAAAGAGAGTTATGAAGTGATACTCTAGCAAGCCTAGGCTGAGTCTGAGATAATGACCTCAAAGGAAAACCACATCTTCTTGTAAGAGATGGTGGTGGACCAGCAGGTGGTGCTATTCTTTTTGGACCAGATTTTCCAAATTACTATGGTAACAAGGAGCACTGTACTGCAGGAGGTCAGAGGAACTCTTCAGAGTATTCATCATGAAAGATTCCATGCCATTACTCATCATTATTCACAGTCTGGCTAAATTGCACTCCGTACTCATAATAACTTCAGCTGTGTGCGCAGCAGGTGATGAAAAGAGCCCCTTCTATTTGTGAAACGCTTTGGAATCCTTTAGGATGAAGAACAGTATATAGATGTGGTTTATTATTAATTCATATTAAGTAGGAAGGTTTAATGCATTTTACTTCAAACAAAAATCCTGAAAACTTGATACAAGTATACATGCCCCCTCAAAGTATTATAATTTTTTCAAGACAATGATTTCAAATATTTACTACGAAACAGGCTAGGTGGGCCAAGTTGTTTGTAACATTTTTTATATTCTAATTCATGAAGTGCATTATTCAATGTGCAGAGGGAATATTGAGAAACACGCACAATCAAGTTTGTAGTTTAGGGTTACAAATTAAAGAAACACTAATTGTGTACTGTAGATCATTAAGGTTTTACAGATGAATTAGGAAAATAAAACCTGAAATTGTACGTTAATTGAACATTAAAGATGAAAATTCACTGTATGACTGAATGTATCAGACTATATAAGTGGAAATGATAAAAGCTGTTCAATCCTATATACTTCATTGAAGAGCGTAACACTGCGCAATGCAGCACAGAAGTGAGGTTACATTAAGTTATCTAACTTGCTCTCCTGAGTTCTACTGTTGCTAGAAATGCCAAGAAATTTAAGATGTATAAACAAAGAAACATTCTTTCCTGCTCTGGAAAATTGTCAATCTCTTGTTTTGAACAGAAGGGTACTGATAAATGCTATGATTTAGAACAAACATAGATTACTATAGAGTTCTAATACCTGCATCCCTTTGAGTTCATGATTTAAATAAATATATTCAAAAATATTTTTTAGCATTCAAGTGTCATAGCTTGAGTTATCTTTCAGAAGTTTTCAGAGAGCTTATGCATTATTCACATTCTATGATCAGATGAAACATTTGAATGAACATGATACACCCCTCAAGCTTTTCCAGAGGTCTCATCCTAAACACAGGGGCCTTCCAAAAATTAATAATTTAGTTTAGATTCTTTAAGACATTTATGTATTAAACATCACTTAAACATCAAACAGCATAATAGACGGTACAGAAGCAAAAACTGTGATTTTTCAAAAATGCTTCCTGCTTTATGTGTCAGGGCTACTGTAACAACATCACTGATCATAAAAACAACATCGGACAGATAAAACTGAAAAGAAAATCAATAGATTTATAATCTGCTTCTTACACATGTTTACTAAGAACTTATGGTTCTGTAAAAACAGCATACATTTATGTAAACTACAG